ATTGGAAGTAGACCTCCTATTATAGGCTGGAGTTAATGATACACTTCAGGTCTGAAAATAATGAAAATACTTTTGAGTGTTAAATATTACAGCATATGTGGAATGATATAACTGATATATTCCTTATATTTATGTCTTTCCTTTCCTCCAGTGAGCTCATGGTAGTTCACATGCCTCTAATTCCCCACCCCCTTTATCCTTTTATCCTCACAACATTGTGAGGTAAGTTAGACTTTGAAAATGTGGTTGGCCCAAGATTATCCATCTCACCAAAAAATCATCCAGTGAATGGCCTGGGGGAAATAAAACAAGGATCTACCAGACTGTACGTGTTGGCTGGAAAGGTGGCATAAAGTATGTCAGATAATTTTCAGAGTGATAGTAATAACAACGGCTTTGTCCAAAATGTATGTAATCCTGAAACTTAAATCACAGTTATCTTCGCTTTGTATTGCTTATTATTGGCTGTGTTTACTCATGCTGGCCACATATTTAGTAGACATGCAGGTTTTCTTTCCATTATACAGTGCCCAGTGGAGAAACCCCACTTTTAAACGCACAAGGCTGCCCAGCTGGAGTGCAGCCAAGTTCTTTATTACATGAAGCTGGAAAGAATATGCTTTCATTCAGCTGGCGCAAGAGAGGCACAAGCGTCCAACTCGTCACAGAATTTGTTTGCTATAATTCAATTAATAATCCATGTGCAAATAGCGCTTCTTGTAGTTTTTGCCAAAGTTACTGAGACACAAGCGATCCTAGTAAGCTGCATCTGTTTGATGCCTATCTCTTCTTGCTCAATAACATTTCTGAGACTTGGAAAGAGTTATGAATTTGCTGTGTAAAATGCCCTGCTAACCATTCTGCTTCTGATTATCTTAATGCATACAATCTCTCTGTTTTTAGTATGCTGACAATTTTCCTAGAAAGATACTTTCTCTTGTTTCATTGTATGATATTAACAAGAGAATTTATGGACATACATGTACATAGAGCGCTGTGATGTTTAGAATATAGGAGCATCAGGGCTGAAGCAGACAGATCCTAATGATAGGAAACTATAACTAACATAGGTAGCATAGCTTTTGAAAAGTTACCTTTTTATATTACGGCTCCCCCAGTCAGCATGAACAGTGGAGTTACAAACCAGAAAAGTATGTTTTCTGAGTTCAGTTTCGTGTTTTGTCAACTGCTCAGCCATGTTTTATGTAGTTGCTTGAGGCAGATTTGAAACCATTGACAAGGCAGTCTCTTTGCGTCTTGGTCCAGGCAACTGGACTGACCCGGAAGCCAGCCTATGCCCTGTTCTGGCCATAATATACAATGGTGCCTCACATTGCGACGTTAATTCGTTCCAGCGAAATCGCTGTAGAATGAAAACGTAATGCGAAAATAAAAAGCCCATTTAAACCCCTTCAATGCGTTCCAATGGGCTGGAAACTCACCATCCAGCGAAGATCCTCCATAGGGCGGCCATTTTCGGTGCCTGTGCAGTGAGGAATCCGTCCCAGAAAACAGCAGGGAACCATTTTATTTACCCGTTGGCCATTTTGAAACTGCCGATCAGCTGTCCGAAAATCATCGTTTTGTGAAGAATCGGTTCCCAAAGCAGGGAACCAATCATTGCAAAGTGAAAAACTTCTGTTCAGATCATTGTTTTGCGATCACAAAAGCGATCGCAAAAAACGTCGTTGTAATGCGGTTTTGTCGTAATGCGGGGGCAATCGTAAAACGGGGCATGACTGTATGCAGTTAAGATGAAACTGCTTAGCTAAATGAGATGCTTTCCCCCTTAGCCATATTCAAGTAGCAATCTATAGGCCAAATCCCTGCTTTCATAGCAGGGGTCCTGCTCAGTACCTGTTGCAAGGTTGTGGTCTAGTACCAATAGTAGGTGTATTATCCCTAGCAGAAGGGTATTTTTTAGTGAACAGGCATTGTGAGACTGCATTTATATGTGTTTCCTAATTGTTTGGACTAAAGAAGTCTATGCTTTAGCCCTGCTGTCTCTTCTCTCTCCTCTGACTTGTTACAAAAAGTAATACCTTTGAAGTCTTCCTGGCAAGATCTCTCCTGGGTAAGAATCAGCTATGCAAATTAATGTGCATTTGTGCACGCACATGCCCAAATACATGCACACGTGTTTTAAGAGGAATAATTAGAATATCAAATCCAAATCTGAACTATACTTCTAAAAATATTGCTTATGTACGACTTTATTCCTTGCCTGGATTCTCATACAGGCTTTGGTGGAAAAGGTTATCTAAAAACAATGGCACTTCAGCATTTCTGGAAAGAATAGGGTCTGTTTCTCGTGGCTTGAATTACTGAGTGGCTGGTTGTTTGAAACTTTAATCTTCTTAATATTTTGTCCTATTTGTTTTGTTGTTGCATATCAGATACTCCATCTGGTCTGTTCTAGGACTGCAAATATTTCTTTATAAAGTGTACTTGGGGGCTGTGTGGAGTTTGGCAGATCTGCTTTTGTGAGAAAAAAGCATCTTGTTCTTTTTGACCTTTCTTCTCCTTTCCCACCATCCTCAAGTTTCTAGTCCTTGCGATTTTGTTTAAACAGGGAAGGAGATGGATACTTCCAAGTTAGTGCAAAATCACATACTGTAAATGTTTCTACAACCTACTCAGCAAATGGAAGGTCTGCGTACATGGAAAGTTATCCAAAGCACGGTTATACTGCAGGTTCAGAAGAAACCTGGCAAAAGTGCATTCCATCCAGATAGTAGATATATAAATAAATCTCCCTCCTCTGTTGCTATATTTATTTATTTATTTAGTTTGCATTATTTGTAGGTAGCCTTTCTCCTGATTGGTCCCTACTTTTAGGAGCAAATCACACATGAAGTAGGAGAGCTTTTGAATAAATCTCTGTGCATGTATATTTTTTACTTCAAAGCAGTTGCAGGGCCACTTTATGGCAACCCGTGTATTTTATTCCATGGGACATGTTGCAGTTTTCTGTGTCTGGAGAAACTGCAAGCTAGAAGAATGGAATAAGCACGAGTATCCTGGGGTAGGGTGATCTATCCTGTATCATAAGATATCTAGCCTTTGGATGCAGAGCCATTTCAGTGGTAAACTGAGAAATAAACTTTTCTGAAACTACAGTGAAATTGTGTGGCACTTCTAAGGGCACAGGTTTCCTTTCCCATTGTATCCACTGTGTCTCAACTCTTTGGCTTAAGAAGATGACAGTAATGGTTCCCAGTCTCTGAACCCATATTTAGGAGACATAAGCTATTGCAGAGGTTTGCGGTTTGTCCTCTTTTTCTCTTCTGAATTTGTCACTTCTTTCCCCTTCTACAGTTAACCACAGTGCGGTCTTACATTCACATCAGTGTAACAGCTAAACTGTTGTTTAAACAGAGTATGCATATAAATGCTTGTTTCTGGTGTGAATTCTGGTTTGGAACTAAATGTAGTTAATGTTAACATTGGTGCAGATGTCATACTGACTGACTATGGTTCACTTTGAAGAGATAAACTGTGTGGGAAGTACATGAGCCCACAGCATTCTGTGTTGTAATGGGTCCAAGATGGGCATGAATTGCTGTTCGGCTGTACAGCTGTTCTGTGGGCGTCCCGCTTCCCTTGCCTCTGCTCCTCTGGTGGGTGCCCACCTGAACATTTCCAAACAACAACTAACCACTGAAGCCAGGTCTAAGGAGCAGATATGCATGGTTGACAACAAGTGCATTTTACACATGGAACAGTTTTTTGCTGCTGAATTCTGAACTGGCTCTAACCACCTTAGAAAGGCACATTGGTTTGTTTTACTTGGCTTGTTTATTTCTTTCTAAAATGGCTGTAACATATATGGAAGAGAGCCAGAATTGTGTAGTGGATTAAGTGTTGGACTAGGACTTGGGTTCCGATCTTTGTATGGCCATGGAAATTTGCTTGGCAGTAACAATGGTAAAACACTCCTTGAACATTTCATATGCCATGAAAACCCCCTTAGGATTGACATAAGTTGGAAGTGATTAAACCCTTGAACATTTCATATGCCATGAAAACCCTCTTAGGATTGACATAAGTTGGAAGTGTCTAAACATGTACAGTGGTGCCTTGCTTAACGATTACCTCGTTAAACGACAAAACCACTTGACGAAGTTGTTGCGATCGCAAAACGATGTTCTAATAGAGAAAAATCGCTTAAAGCTAAACATGTACAGTGGTGCCTCGCTTAACAGTTATCTCGTTAAACGATAAAACCACTTGACAAAGTTTTTGCGATGACAAAACAATGTACTAATAGGGAAAAATCGATAGAGAAAAACCGCTTAAAGGTGATCAGTTCCCTGCTTCAGGAACTGATTTTTCGCTAGACGACGATTTTTAGACAGCTGATCGGCGGCTCTAAAATGGCCAACTGCTGTGCAAAATGGCTCCCCGCTGGGATTTAGGATGGATTCCTCGATTTACAGGCACTGAAAATGGCCACCCCTATGGAGGATCTTCGCTGGACGCTGAGGTATTTAGCCCATTGGAACGCATTGAACTGGTTTTCAATGCATTTCAATGGGCTTTTTCGTTTTGCTTGACGAGGATTTCGCTTAAAAGCGATTTCAACGGAACGAATTATCCTCGTCAAGCGAGACACCACTGTAACACACACACGAAGTATTTGTGGTTATATTAGGCCAGTATACTGAAAAAAGAGATGAGAGAAATGAAAATCGGGGACAGGAATAATTATGAACGGACTTGATAATGAAACAGCAAAGATCATAATTGCAGTTATATTACTCTGAAATTCAGGGGAGAATAAAGGTACTTATTCAGAGGAAAATTGGAATTTTGAAATCCTGGGTTCAAATTGCTGCTTGACTGTGATGTGCTGGGCAAATTACTCTCTCTCTAAAATGTAAGGTTATTTTGCCAAAGTTTTGGTGGGTTGATTACAAAAGGCAGAAGCGGAACTGTTTTTGATGTTTCAGGTGTAGCACATATGTGATTTCACCACCTCTTTCTCTCACCATACTCAGGTTTGGTATTCATCCTGTAGCTGGCCGTATGCCTGGACAGCTAAATGTATTGCTTGCAGAAGCTGGTGTACCATATGATATTGTCCTAGAAATGGATGAGATCAATGAAGACTTTCCAGGTGAGAGAGATGGATGCCCTGCTCTGTGTTTGCTTTAGGGTGCTTGGTCTTTTCAGGAGTGAATAAGCACTGCTGGAATTTGAGAAAAAAATGTAATATTGCAGTTGGCCACCTAAAGAATTCCAGTTCTTCTTAAGCATATAATTAAAACTCATTTCTTTGCTGAATGTGTGCCTTGTAATTTGATGTTATTATTTTTCCTTTTTTATAAGTTGTATTGTAAAAGACACTATTTAAAAAGCTTTTAAATATATAAAAAGCTTTTAAACATTGTCTTTCACTGATGTAAGCCACCTTGGGTACTTCTTAAGGAGAAAAGCTAGAGTAAAAAATGACACGAACAAACTTTCCTAACTATATCTGAGAAATGGTTTAGGGAAGGTCATCTAGGTCAGCTCATAGCTCCTGTTAAAATTTGGGCATTCAGTTCAGTGTGTTTCCATACTATTGTAAAACACAGTGCTGCTAACCGTTGCATTTTCATGATTGTTTCATAACTGTTTGTGTCTTTGTGTGGTGTCCTTTTCCTTATACATATTTCTCCCCCACAGAAACTGATTTAGTTCTTGTTATTGGAGCTAATGACACAGTTAATTCAGCTGCCCAGGAAGATCCAAACTCTATCATCGCAGGAATGCCAGTTCTAGAAGTGTGGAAGGCAAAGCAGGTGGGTGAAAAAAAGTAGTACATTTTAGAAATGCATAGAAGAGGAATGTCCTATAATATTATCTTTCACTACTTCAAATCAGTCGTTTTACAAGAGATAGATTAGTCTGTGCTAGCATATCAGGTAAAAATGAAAGGAAAAAAAGACAAAAACGTTGTGGCGCATTAAAGATTAACTGCTATATCTTAATCTGAACTTTCACAGACAAGAAGACCTTACATTTCTGCTGCCCATTGCCATTATGTAGTAAGATATGGCTGCTTTCCACTACTATAACCATCAGTGTCTTTCTTAGCAATGTTAACCACTGTTACTCCCAGAACAAAAGTAACATTGCATTCATGGTTTTGTCACCCATGAGGTTTTATAGCAGTAAAAAAAATACATAGAGTGTTACAATTTTTAGGGACTGTTGTGAGGCTGTTTTGAAGAGAAAAACCCTTTTCCACTTTTTTTTAAAAAAGCTAACGTATACCAAATCCCACCTCAGAACATTGACAAACCTTAACACTATTCAGGCGTTCAGCTTGAAGGCATGTAGGGTCCAGAGAGTAGTGATGTAGAAGGTGGAGATAAGATTGCTTATCCCATTTCCATCCCACCTGGGGATCCTACCAATCTTAATGTGTTTCAGCATGAAGGTCTGCATAGGCTTTGTAGCTACATGAAACTGAGTGTGCCATGCATTTACGGCATATGGTTTTTATTATTATCGATGTTATGTTATTTTATTTTATTGTATTTTATCTCTTATGTAAGCCGCCCTGAGTAGACTTTGTCTAGAGGGGCGGGGTATAAGTCCAAATAAAGTAAAGTAAAGTAAAGAACATGCAGAATTCTACAGGACTTTCATGTGTGGTGAGGTGTAGGGTGGCCTTAAGTGCATTCCTCCATCCCACAAGTATTTGAGCCCTATGTGCTTTCAGTTTGAACCCATGAATAGCCTTTTTTTTCCTGCTCCCAGTCTTTGTGTGTGTAATTCTAGTCCCCCACATTGGAATGTCTGAAAGGGGCAAAGAACATGTGTCCATTTTGATTAGGTCTACTGGGAAAACACAAGAGAGGAATGGTGACCTTGTGTAAACACTCTTGAACTTCACACTAGCCATAGGGTGTGCTCAATGTATGGTTGTGATTTTCAAATAAAGTTAGGGAATTGTGGTAGCCTTCGTAACAGGGACGTGGTGGCGCTGCAGGCTAAACCGCAGAAGCTTGTGCTGCAGGGTCAGAAGACCAAGCAGTCGTAAGATCGAATCCACGTGACGGAGTGAGTGCCCGTTGCTTGTCCCTTGTCCCAGCTCCTAGCAGTTCGAAAGCATGCAAATGCAAGTAGATAAATAGGGACCACTTCGGTGGGAAGGTAACAGTGTGCTGTGTCTAAGTCGCACTGGCCATGTGACCACGGAAGATTGTCTTCGGACAAAACGCTGGCTCTATGGCTTGGATGAGCACCGCCCCTTAGAGTCGAACACGACTAGACAAAAAAATTGTCAAGGGGAACCTTTACCTTTACCTTGTAATAGAGTATTGTTGTTCTTACTTTAAAATATCTGGAGCAGTAATGAAGGCAACTGTGTAAAACAACAGTTATTTTGTGAACAGTTGATTGGTTTGATATTGAACACTTATATTTCTGCTGTGTCTAAAAGAAGTTCCTCGTTTCAGGTCATTGTTATGAAGAGATCCCTAGGTGTTGGATATGCAGCTGTGGACAACCCCATCTTCTACAAACCCAATACAGCCATGCTGCTTGGTGATGCAAAGAAGACCTGTGATGCCTTGCAGTCGAAAGTGAGAGAGTCCCATCAGAACTAAACACCTTTTGTTAAAAGCTACCCTTTGGCCAGTACAGTGTTCTCTTAAAGTCTTATATTCATCAATGTAAAATGTCAAGGGTTAGAAGGTGTTTCCAAAATGAAGGTCGAGGGAGAATCATTAGAGTCCAGAAACATACTGAACCAGCGGTGGCTGCTGACCATTATGTTGGTGGGGCACAGCAATCAATAGTGGGCATAGACGGGGTAAAGTGAGTATTCACACACACTTACACAGAGGTAGGCAAGCAAGCATTTACACATACAAGCACCTTTTTCCTCTGGTAAGGAGACAAACCAGAGTGGGATGACTGCAGGTAACCGGCACTTGAGGTGGGGCAGTACTGCTGTAAACATTTGTGTACAGATATAAGAAGAAAAACAGACTTGGAAATGAACTCGCTTGGGACGGGTGGGAATGGAATCTGGGAAACCTATTTTTGAAACTGTACATTTAAGAAGATTGCCCTCAGTAGCTAAATGTGTAATACAGTAACACTCAGGAATTTGGAGGGAATTGTCCTTTTGGTTTGATGTGAAAATAAGGGAAACTTGCATTTTAAAAAAAAAGCAGGGAGGTGCTGTCATTTTAAAATCTTGGGCTTTAGAGTTTGCTGATAGGATCCAGGTGCATTCAGAATTTGTCTGATCACTTATTAGAATCCTTATTCAGATCACTTATTCAGAATCCTAACCAGATACTTTAAATTTTGACTGGCTTTGTGGCCCTTTAGGTGGATTTTTTGTATATCCTATTTCTGAAATGGATTTTGATGCATTTGTAATCAACATATTTGAGATGCTGGGAATGAGCAGTTTCTGGCCCAACAGAATTCAAATGCTGGAAAAAGAGATGCTGTTCCAGACCATGTGGAATGTCTTTTCTTAAAAATAATAAAGTACTCAAGCAAGTATGGAAATCCAGTAAGCTTTAACGGGGTGGGGGAAACAACCACCAGAGATTCTGATAATCAGTCTTCCATTTAATTTAATTAACTAAACTATTTTAACTACAGTTTAATGGTAAATAGTCTTTCTTTAATGCTTTCCAGTGCAGCCTTGATTATGTTTGGTGCAGTTGAACAGAACTCAAATGTTTGACTAATAAAATGCATTTGTCATGTTTGCATAATGATGTAGCAACTGTCTGTGGTGATAGAGGCAAAATAAATAGCTGTACTTGTGTTAGGAAACCTTAACATCTGGGCAAGACAGACTACTATGAAGTGAGTTAAACTTTGTCCAACTTGACTGTTTATAAATCCTGATTTTTACCATTGTGTTTATTGTTACCTAATTTAATAGCAGATGAAGATCATGTTCATTAGCTACCTCCTGTTTTTATACAATGAGGGTCTCATACATTGAACATCAAGAGATGACAGCAGGCTGAATCCAGCTATGAGTTTCTTTACCCCCACTGAACCAATGGTTTGGGTGCTTTTATTTTATTGGGATGTGCAGAAAACATACACAGATGGATTGTGCTTGGTGGTTTTAAAGAAAGTTAATCTCTTAAAGTGGGACATGGTGGCACTGTGGGTTAAACCGCGGAAGCCTCTGTGCTGCAAGGTCAGAAGACCAGCAGTCATAAGATTGAATCCACGCTCGAATCATTGTGATGGAGTGAGTTCCCTTCGCTTGTCCCAGCACCTGCCAACCTAACAGTTCGAAAGCATGTAAATGCGAGTAGATAAATAGGTACCATCATGGTGGGAAGGTAAAGGCGTTCCGTGTCCAATCACTGGCCACATGGCCACCGAAACTGTCTACAGACAAACGCTGGCTCTATGGCTTGGAGATGGGGTGAGCACCACTCCCTAGAGTCAGACACGACTGGACTAAATGTCAAGGGGAACCTTTAACTTTACCTAACCTCTTAAAACTGCATAATAAGATTCTTTTGAACAGTAGTACAGTATAGTGTTCTGTTAGAACACCTGAGCCACAAGATTCTGATGCAGAAATTTTCGGGCAGCTATATTTTAGCTTTAGTGGGACCTGTCAGTATCCTTATCTTCCTTGTGTTGGAACCATACCTTTTCAGTGCAACCTGCATGTTAACCTGGTTAAGAAGAGTTACATCAGCAGATTTAGCCTTGGAATGTTTAATGCTGCTGCCTTAAAGCTGTACTGTGCTCCTTATTTAAAATAGCATTTTTTATTTTATTTTATTTTTGTTAATTTGGATATACAAGCAATTGGTAAGTGGACCAGAAGAAGCATCGTTAATGGTAGAGTTGTGTTTATATTATGGAACATGAAAAAATTATTTAAAAAATAGAAATAAAAGTAATCAAGTGAACAAAAGACCAAGGGTTCTATAGAATTCTTGAAATGTGCTGTTCTCAAAAAAAATAAATAAAAATAAAAAAGGAATGTAAGATTGCTGGGAAACAACTGTGTTTGCGTGTTTGTTTGTTTGTTCGTTCTGTGCTGTCAGGTCAGAACTGACTTACAGTAATCCTAAGAGGGCTTTCAGGTAAGTGAGTTTCCACGGCCAACTGGTGATTCAAACCCTGTTCTCCTGAGTCCTAGTCCATGGAAGTTTTTAAAAACTTGAACACCTGTAATGTGAAAAGGCCCTTAGGAAAAACCTTCCTAGAGTCATCCTCGCCTGCCATCAGAATTCTCTTCCTTCTAGCCATGGGGTTACCTTGTGGAGGTAGCAATCACTTACCAGCCAGAATTTTGTATTTCCCACTGCACACTAGTCACATTGCAAGACTTTGTGGGAAATGTTAAGTAGTGGCTGTAGTGAACAGCCCTGCCCTCACTTGCCCGTCACAGCTGAATAGTGGAAAAGGAGCCAATGAGAGGATGGAAGGCGGAGCCAAGGGGGAAGGAGGCTGGATATAAAGGCTGGTGTATGGAGTATGAGGAGAGACTCTGTGAATGAGAGACAATGTGAAACTTAAGAGTGAACTAAGTGAGTTAGAGATCTGTAAGAACAGAATGGAACAGAGAGTTAATAGGGCTATAAAGTTAATTTTTTTATTTATTTTTATTTATTTATTTGATTTATACCCCGCCCATCTGATCTAAAAGACCACTCTAGGCAGGTAAGATGTTTAGTTAATATTTATGCAATTGTTTGATAAATGTAATGTTGTTTTATTGATATTGTGTATTGTTGTTTTGCTCCGTGTTCATGAGAGGAAAGCACTTTAGCTTTTCTCCCATGAAACAACTTATTAAGGGGGGAGGTAATGTAACAGGCAGCCCTGACCTCACCTGTCCGTCACAGCTGGGCAGTGGGTCATCAGCCAATGGGGTGACGGAGGGTGGTGATGAAGGAGGAGGAGCTGAATTATATAAGGGGGTGTGGAGTGATAAGGAACAGATAAGGACTGGATAAGGATGAGCTTGAGATAGCTGGTTTAAAGGCCTGTGAGCCTGAGTAGTCAGTGAGGAAAGTCTGTGTTTGATTAAATAAGAAACAGTGATTTACATCGTGATTATCTTCCTGTGACTTACTTATTTTATTTTGTGAACCAATAAACCAGTTTTATTTTTAAAAGAAACATTTGTCCTTCTTGAGCAGTAATTATATTTGGAGGCAGCAGTGTGAAGAGGAGTGGTGGGCACTCTGAGAGGCCTGAGTTGGCAGAGTGTCCTGCTACAATAAAAATTGTAATAAAAAGTAGAAGTGATTCAAATACAAGTGATTAGCAACCTGTGATTTACCTATCGAATATTAATCATATATTAACTTCCCTGATCTAATAAATAATTTAAGTTTTAAAAAGCACCAGTTAATCATATATTAACTTCCCTGATCTAATGAATAATTTAAGTTTTAAAAAGCACCAATGTCTCCATGATTAAATGGTGTTAAAGCAGCAATACCTGGTTGCAACGAAGAAAGAAGAAGGGCGAGAACCTTGTGAAGGCCAGGGGGAATAGGGGCTTCAGAGGAGATTGCCACAAAAGTGGCGACCAGCGGCGGGATCCGACTCATAGGTGTTAATGGAAAACTTGCATCAGGTATCAGTACTAGCACCGTGGCTGCTGCTCCAGATTCTGCGTGCTGATGCCAGGCATGTTCACTTCATTCTGATTGATTCACTTTAGCCCTATTCAGTCATTCCTTATCTGGTGCTCAGCTACATATTAGGCAGTAATGATTAGCCTATCCTATCTTCATTGTTACTTTCTCCATAGGGAAAGCATCATGTCTGGAAGCAGAACCTTTCACCTTTATCTATCTATCTATTTATCTAACTAACTAACTAACTAACTAACTAACTAACTAACTAACTAACTAACTAACTAACTAACTAACTAACTAACATGCTGCCCACTCTACCCAAAAGTCTCTGGGCGGCTTACAACAATTAAAATTCAATTAAAATACAATAAAAGATAAAATGATTAAAATACAATTAAAATTGCCATCAGGACCCACAGTTGATGATATTTCTATTAAAAGCTCCAGGTACAGTACTTTGCTGTTCCTCTAGAGAAAGTGATGATACGGAGGGAGGGGGCTAGTTACTCTTTTCTAAGTGTGATGTTGAGAACTGGGTAAATGACAACCAAACATGATTTTTTTTTTGGTCTGCCTTTTCAGCAGTTTAAGAATGCAGAGCTTGGTAACTTTCTTCTATGGACTACAGCGATCACAATTGCCCAGCCAGTATGGCCAGTCCAAGTTGTCTTAAGAGTTTTAATCCACTTTTCCAAGCTGTAGAAGGAAGGAATCATAACATAGAGGCTACCCTGTGAACATTTAAGTGCTAAGATATGAATTGCCCTTTGCTAAAATTAAACATGTAGAAGAATCAACGAGAGTTAAAACTGTCTGAATTCTACAGGCTCAACAGGAATGCAAGGATTTAATTAAGACCTTTGCTGGTGCTACTGTAGTGACTAAACTTTCCAGGCCCTGAGGAAAACCTCTGCATTGGAGAATTTGAAAATTGGACAGTGTTTGTGCTGCCCACTTGTTTAGACATTCAGGTCCTTAGGAGCTGCTTGTTTTTCACTGCTATTCCAGCAACTGCAGAGTAGTGACCAAAATTCTTCTGCTCTCATGGCAGTGACTTGTATAATCCAGCTGGTCTGAAGTTACTTAGAAGAAACAAATAATTCTATTAATTAAAGCTTCAGTCTGCAAACATATGATCCTTGCTTAAACGAGAAGGCTAGAAAAGACCGTCACAGCTGGGTATGGGACTAATCAAGCATCCAATTATTTTACTGCTTTATATGCCCACAAATAATTAAATTGTGAAGAATATGCTTGTAACTGAAACACTTCCTGCAAATTTAAGGGATGGCCTTTCGTCTTCTGCCAATGGTCACAAAATGTTTCTAAAGTGGGATACGCTTTCTCTCTCCCCATGGGGTGAATAATGAGGAAGATACGGACTTTAAAAAGTAATTAAGGCAAATGTCTGGCCCATTCTACTAATTGGTCTCTACTTTTTCCCTTCAGAATTTCTGTATAGGTTTACCCATAAGTGATTGTTTTGCAATACTGGGATACTTGGATTCAAAGATATTTCCCATAATTTAAAGTTCTAATTATATGGAGTGTATCTCTTTGATTCTACAGACTGAAAGTCTCAGATCTCTCTGAACATTTTACAACTCTTGGTGGCCATTCTCATCCAAAAGAGAGTTGAAGGGAATAATTTACTTGGCAGTGGAGTAATTAAGATTGCTGGAAGAAATATCAACAACCTCTGATATGCAGATGATACCACTCTGAGGGTAGAAAGTGAGGAGGAATTAAGGAACCTTGTAATGAGGGTGAAAGAGGAGAGTGCAAAAAACGGTCTGAAACTCAACATCAAAAATAACTAAGATCATGGCCACTGGTTCCATCACCTCCTGCCAAATAGAAGGGGAAGATATGGAAGCAGTGACAGATTTCACTTTCTTGGGCTCCATGATCACTGCAGATGGTGACAGCAGCCCCAAAATTAAAAGACGCCTGCTTCTTGGGAGGAAAGTGATGACAAACCTCGACAGCATCTTAAAAAGCAGAGACATCACCTTGCCAACAAAAGTCCGAATAGTCAAAGCTATGGTTTTTCCTGTAGTGATGTATGGAAGTGAGAGCTGGACCATAAAGAAGGCTGACCGCTGAAGAATTGATGCTATTGAATTGTGGTGCTGGAGGAGGCTCTTGAGAATCCCCTGGACTGCAAGGAGAACAAACCTATCCATTCTGAAGGAAATCAACCCTGAGTCCTCACTGGAAGGACAGATCCTGAAGCTGAGGCTCCAATACTTTGGCCATCTCATGAGAAGAGAAGACTCCCTGGAAAAGACCCTGATGATGGGAAAGTATGAAGGCAAGAGGAGCAGGGGACGAAGAGGACGAGATGGTTGAACAGTGTCATTGAAGCTACCAACATGAATTTGACCCAACTCCGGGAGGCAGTAGAAGATAGGAGAGCCTGGTGTGCTCTGGTCCGTGGGGTCACGAAGAGTCAGACTCGACTAAACGACTAAACGAAACGAAACGAAGGAGGTACATGAACAAAATGGCAGAGACTACAGAATGGTTCCTGTAGAGCAGTGGTTCTTAACCTTGGGTTACTCAGAAGTTTTGGACTGCAACTCCCAGAAGCCTTCACCACCAAC